TCTCTTTTTAGCAGATATTGTTAAAAATGTACTCAGGGTAGCAACCTCACTTCATGCTAAGGTGGAACATTTTTAATGTGTTCATGCATCTCAGATTTGCATTAAGGCTGGCAAAATAACAAATATTTTCACCCCCAAATTCTACTGACTGGCTAGCATCCTCCTACCTGACATAAGAATTAGAGATGAACTGCTTGGAGAAAACAGTCCCCACCTCTAAAATCTTCTCATATCCCAGAAACATCAGATTTCCCTGGGGAGGAAGAGTTCACGCAGTGAGGAGGAAGAAAGATTTCTATTCTATTTTCTCCAGTTTAAGGGTCAAGAAGTCAGACTATAAAGCTAAGCCTCAGTCCTAGGAGCTCCAGAATCTAGGAATACCAGCCCTGGTACTTACTTCCTAGAGGAAATATATTTTTTCTGCTAGTTTGCACCTCTGTCTGATAGGAAGAAAATAATAATTTGAGATACTTCCAGATGTCTGTTTCTATAGTAACTCAGAATCTTTAGAAACCTTCTTCCTGTTTCTTAGAATTTTAACATGTCCTTGTCTTAGAATCTTTCCCATTAATAATACTGACCCACCAGTTCATCTTCTCATTTCCTTTGATTCTTTAGCTATAGGGATTGTCATTGGGCATTGCTTCTGTGGTCTAAGAGAATGGTCCTCAAACTTGAGCCTGTGTAAGATTCACAGAGAGCTTGTTAAAGACTGATATTTGAGCTCAAATACTAACCTCCCCAAATCTCAAGACTGATTTGGTAGGTCTGGCTTGGGATCCAAGCCCGTGCATTTCTAATAGGCTCCCCCACCCCCAACCCCACCCTGGTGGTGCTGGTACTGCTCTAAGACAATGTGGGGGCGCACTGGCTCTGAGCCTTGGCAGACAGTGGGATTGTGGCTTTCATCCAGACAAGAAGCAAGGGGAGAAATTGTTTGCTGTGTAAATACTTGGAATTTCTAGGGGCATCAGGAGCACAAATCTCACAAGTCTAAGTTCAGGACGCAAGGATCTGGGACCAGCTTCTGATTTACCAGTAGAAATAAAAACTCAAAACCGCACAGTAAAATTGGATGCCTTTTGAATAACTACTCAAAAGAATTTAACATACATGTATATATTAAATGTATTTATCTTGCAAATGTAGAGTTGACTATATGTATTGTATGTGAGAGATAATCTCCACTGTATTCACTGTCTCTGCTCCTTGTACACAATGATAAAGGAGCTAAAGAACCCATGTGCTAAGTAAGAGAATCATCCCATAACCTCGATAAGAAGGAAGAGACCAGATTGGACATAAACTTTTCAAGGAGAGGCTGGTGTCATTACAAGGTCAGAGAGCAAAAATGAGGCTCTCTCCTGGCCCACATCCTCTGTGTTACATCAAGAGCCTCAGACAACCTTGATCTTCATTCAGATCTTCCTGATCCCTGGTTCGAGAAGATCCCCTGGAGGAGGGCATGGCAACCTACTCCAGTATTCTTGCCTGGAGAAACCCATGGACAGAAGGCTTTGAAAAGACAAGAGTTTTTCCCTAAGCAGAAACTCCTACCCATTTTCCCTCCTATTTTTTGTTTATTCTACTTGGGTAATTGTAGCTCCATTTGTTACAAGTAACAGAAATGAGCAGGAACTGATTTAAAGTTCCTAGAATGGCCCACAGAACCCTTGCACAGGACGCTGATGACCCCAGGAGGACTAGAACAGGACACTGGTGAGCTTGGGGGACCCAGTCACTGAGTCTTCTCCATGTGTACCTGGGTCACTCTCTCTGCAGCAGGTCAGACAGAACATGTCCACCATCAGACCCCAGCGTGCACAGCACTCTTCTTAACATATGAAGACTCATGAAGACTCCCTGACTCCCTCTCAGTTCCATTTCCAGCTCCCACTTGAATCTGGGTACCTGGCCCTGGTCCAATCAAATTGAGGGGAGGTATAAAAAGTGAAAGATAGAGAGTAGGAAAAAATGAAGGAATATAATCTTCCATTTAGACGATTATTTCAAAAGTGATCCTTGCCACATAACAAGACTTCCCAGACTTCTATTGGTTGTCTATGTCAGAATCCATAATATATAGAATATCAGCTTCTGATAAGAGAACTGGTTAATGTATATCATGAAAAAATTTTTAAGTGAGAATAAACAGCATTTCAGGGCCCCTAATACATAGACAATATTGAAAACAATTTTAGGTAATGAATTATTTTTAACCTCCTCTTTTCCAAATTTATTCAAGATAGGGGTTTCATTTGATTGCTTTTCTGTTGGTTGGTTGTTGCTTATTTATTTACTTGTTTGTTTATTTAGTGGACTAACACAAAGGAATAAAAAATATCTTTCCAGAAGAGTTGCAAAGGCACCCTCAAGGAGAAAGAGCATTTCTCATAATGAAAGATGTTAGCTACCCATGACACTCCTTCTGTAGCCCTTTGCTTGCTCTCTTTCATGAAAGTGTGTGTCCGTGCATAGTTGCTTCAGTAGTGTCTGACTCTTTGCGAACTTACGGACTGTAACTCACCAGGCTCCTCTGTCCATGATGGGATTCTCCAAGCAAGAATATCGGAGTGGGTTCCCATGCTCTCATTCAGGGGATCTTCCTGACCCAGGGATCGAACCTGTGTCTCTTATGTTTCCTGCACTGAATCTACTGGGTCTTGATTGCTTTCCACTCAAAACAATCCACTTGCCAAAATGGCACATTTTGGGAAGGCTTGTTCTAAACTCCTTCAAAAGCAAACCATAGGAGGGTCAAAGTTAAATTTCAAAGGAAAATTAAAACAAGTACAAAATTATTAATAGATCAATTCAGTGAAACATGTTAAGAAAAGGAATTGCCAAAGAAATAACACATTGAATGGCTCTTCGTTTCTGTATTTCCTTCTTCCCGAGCATTTACTTTTGTATTTTGAAATTTCAACTGTATAATTTTATACTTTTTTACTGTTTTAATAAGGACATCCTTATTGTGCTTCTGAACTTCAACTCTATTTTCTCTTTGATGTTTTAAATTCTTTAGTTCTCCCTACTTTGTCTTTTTTTATTTCTATTACTTCGTGTTTCCTGTCTAATTACGTGAGCTTGTCATAAATCCTTAAGTGATTTTCTTTGTCTATCCAAACTTTTGGAGCTTTTATCAAATTGGTTTTGTTGGGGTTTTTTTTTTTCCATTTATTTTTATTAGTTGGAGGCTAATTACTTTACAATATTGTAGTGGTTTTTGTCATACATTGACATGAATCAGCCATGGATTTACATGTGTTCCCCATCCCCATCCCCCCTCCCACCTCCCTCCCCATCCCATCCCTCTGGGTCTTCCCAGTGCACCAGGCCCGAGCACTTGTCTCATGCATCCAACCTAGGCTGGTGATCTGTTTCACCCTAGATAATATACATGTTTCGATGCTGTTCTCTCGAAACATCCCACCCTCGCCTTCTCCCACAGAGTCCAAAAGTCTGTTCTGTACATCTGTGTCTCTTTTTCTGTTTTGCATATAGGGTTATCATTACCATCTTTCTAAATTCCATATATATGCATTAGTATACTGTAATGGTCTTTATCTTTCTGGCTTACCTCACTGTGTATAATGGGCTCCAGTTTCATCCATCTCATTAGAACTGATTCAAATGAATTCTTTTTAATGGCTGAGTAATATTCCATGGTGTATATGTACCACAGCTTCCTTATCCATTCGTCTGCTGATGGGCATCTAGGTTGCTTCCATGTCCTGGCTATTATAAACAGTGCTGCAATGAACATTGGGGTGCACATGTCTCTTTCAGATCTGGTTTCCTCGGTGTGTATGCCCAGAAGTGGGATTGTTTTTTTTTTTATTATTTTGACAGTCTATATTCTTTTTCCGAAGTTTTCTATTTTGACCATTACTTCTTTAAAACTACATAAAAATCAAACCTGAAATCAGTTACCAAGGATCTGGCTGCTCCTGCAGAGACCCTCGGGCTTCCCTGATGTCACTAGTGGTAAAGAACCTGCCTGCCAATGCAAGAGATGTAAGAGACGCAGGTTCAATCCCTGGGCCGGGAAGATGCCCTGGAGGAGGGCATGGCAACCCACTCCAGTTTCTTGCCTGGAGAATCCCATGGACAGAGAAGTCTGGTGAGCTGTCCAGCCCATAGGGTCACAAAGAGTCAAAGTGACTTAGCATGCACACATGCACATAGAGACCCTCGCAGAAAGCCAAGAGCCAGCATTCCTAACAAAGATTCCCTTATTCAGGAAAGACTAGACTCAGGCTCAGATTCCTGCCCCACTGCCCTCTCCCTAATTCTTTTTTAAAAATATTTATTTATTTTACTGTTGACTGTGTTGGGAGGGCTCTTCCTGCAGCAAGCAGACTTCTCTCTAATTGTGACCTGAGGGCTCTGTGTTGCCCCAGGGCACATGGGATCCCTGACCAGGGATCAAACCTGTGTCCCTTGCATTGGAAGGCAGATTCTTAACCACTGCACCACCAGGGAAGTCCCTTCCTAATTTTTCTGCTGCCTGTGATCACCCCATTTCTGCTTCCCTGTGTATTTAACACATATACCAAGACTGAAAAAAAAAAAAAAGGAAAGGATATTCTTTTTTTTGGATGCACTACACACAACATGGGATTAGTTCCCTGACCAGGGATCAAGCTGCAGATGCCCCCTGCCGTAGAAGTGTGGAGTCTTACCACTGGACCACCAGTGAAGTCCAAGGAAAGGATACTCTTTTTTTTTTTATTATTGGAGTTAACACTGTTAAGGAGAAGGAGAATCCTATTTGTCATGCTCCCCTTTTCTCGTGGGTGAACCTGTGCTATGCCTTAGAGTGTTCATTTCTGTTTTTCCTTCACAGTGAGACCACCAAGAACTCCTTGGAGCATAGTCTACAGCAGCTCAAGAGCCATTTCACCTGGAACTTGGTAGAGGGAGAACATTCTTTGGATGGTTTTGAAGACAGAGTGTGTAACCAGAATGAGTTTCAGAACAGCGAATTCAAAGCCACAATGTGCAACATACTGGCCTACATAAAACACCGCAGAGGCCAGCATGAGGCAGCCCTGGAATGCTTACGGCAAGCCGAAGAGTTCATCCAGCGAGAGCATGCTGACCAGGCAGAGGTCAGAAGTCTGGTCACCTGGGGAAACTACGCCTGGGTCTACTATCACTTGGGAAGATTCGCAGAAGCTCAGCTTTATGTAGACAAAGTGAAACAAGTCTGCCAGAAGTTTTCCAGCCCCTACAGAATTGAGAGTCCTGAGCTGGACTGTGAGGAAGGGTGGACACGGTTGAAGTGTGGAGGAAACCAAAACGAAAGGGCCAAGGTGTGTTTTGAGAAGGCTCTGGAGAAGAACCCCAAGAACCCAGAGTTCACCTCTGGACTGGCCATCGCGAGCTACCAGCTGGATAACAAGCCACCATCTCAGAATCCCATTAACCCTTTGAGGCAAGCCATTCGGCTGAATCCTGATGACCAGTATGTCAAAGTTCTCCTGGCCCTGAAACTTCAAAAGATGAATAAAAAAGATGAAGGAGAGAGATTAGTTGAAGAAGCTTTGGAAAAAGCCCCATTGGCCACAGATGTGATTCGAGGGGCAGCAAAGCTGTATCGAAGAAAAGGTGACTTGGACCAAGCTATAGAACTCCTGAGAAAGGCTCTAAAATGCATGCCCAACAACATCTACCTGCATTGCCATATTGGGTGCTGCTATAGGGCCAAAGTCCTGGAAGTAGAGAAAATGGGTGGGGAGAGAGAGGAATTACAGGAACTAATAAGACATGCTATAGATCATTTAAAGAGAGCTGATGAGAGTAATGGAAATTTCTTCCGTATCAGCTCCTATCTCGCCTGCCTCCATGCACAAGTCGGTCAGTATGAAGAAGCAGAGTGTTACTTTCAAAAAGAATTCAGCAAAGAGCTTCCTCCTGCAGCCAAACAACTGCTCCACCTGCGATACGGCAACTTTCAGCTGTACCAGAGGAGACAGGAAGACAAAGCCATCCAGCATTTCATAGAGGGTGTGAAAATAAACCAGGGATCAAAGGAGGGAGAAAAAATGAAAAACAAACTGCAAAGATTTGCCAAAATCAAGCTCTCGAAAAACAGAGAGGATCCTGAGGCTTTGCATCTCTTGGCGTTTCTTCAGGAACTGAATGAAGACATGCAGCCAGCAGAGGAAACCTCTGAAAACCTCATCCCTTTAGCATCTTTAGCTGAGGAATGAGGACCTGGAATGTGGTACCCATAGGGCTACTGCTAGAAGGGAGCTGAAACCCCTCCACCAAGTTGGTATTCAAAATATTTAACAATTGTCACAGGCGTGGACTTAGACCTTGGCCACACAGTACTTGATCAAGGTTAGGGAGGAACTCTACTGGGCCAGTGTTAAGATCTAAATTGTGTTCTGGGAGGGGGACTGGACTGGGGGCAGGTCCAGGGGCTCAGTAAAGGGGCTATTTCCCAACTGACCTCTTTGGAACAGTTGGCATTCCCTCTGTCGAGTGATGTCATGGCTATGTTTCTATAAAGTAGTCAGATGTCTCACACCTGTAACACTGTGGTCCCTTTCAGCAATGTTTTTCCATCTTTGGAGTCATTTTAGATCCTGTACAGGTTGGTCCTGTGATACAGTTCAGGGCAGTCTTCCCTCAAATATGCCAAAATGGCATTTTGATTATTTTGAAGTTATTACTTGAGAAAACAGCCAGTGCAAGGAGAATACTCTGACCCTCCTCTCAGAGCAGGAAATAAATCTCCCATGAGAAAAGTACCCTCACTATGCCAAGAGGCAGAGAGACATCCGTGTCACTGGCCATAGGGAATTGAGGGCTGGGAAGGCTACATAAACCAGCTCTGCTTAGACTCTCCACTAATTAGTACCCAAGCCCAAGTTTCTTTGCCTTGCCAGTTCCTCATGAATTTATTATTTCTTTGTCTAAAAGGTATAAAAGCTGCCAGGTTTGGTCACTTCTTAGTCTGTATACTAGGAGACCTGCATATGTATGAAATTAACTTAGATTTTCTCCTGTTAATTTGGCTTGCATCGATTTAATTATTAGATCAGCCAGAAGAACCCTGAAGGGTAAGCAGAAATTTCCCCTTCCCAACACCCTGCACAGACACTAATGTGCTTTGTCCATCCAAAGGCTGGGGGATAGAAGATTAGGGAGGCCTGAGGGTCCTCTCTCCCTCCCTTCTGCCTTCTGCCCCACCTCCCCAGACAAGTCTTAATCTAGGACTGTTTATACAAACTCTATATACAACATGAGTTCAAGCATCCCATTAACTGAAGAGAGGAAAGAGGTTTTTAAAAACACACACACACACACACACACACACACAAACAAAAAAAAGAACAGGTCAAATCTGGAAGGAATATAGGTAGAAGAAGTGGGGTCAGGTGACCACAGTACAAGCGTTTCAGGAAGCAGGTGGGGAGGTTTCATCTCTTCTCTGTCCTCTCTGTAACCACAACACGGCAAGTGAGAGTAAAAAGGTAGATTCTGTACATTAGAAACCAAAATAATGCTTTTCTTTAAAATATCTTGAATTGGTTTATAGTGCTTTTCAGGTCTACTATATCCTTCTACTTCTCTGTATATTCATTCTTTTAATTTTTGAGAATTTGATATTGACACTCCAACTAAAAAAAAAAATCTTAATTTATCTGCTTGAAAAATAATTGTAATATATAGTGGAACTATATGTAACATCTGTATGTAATGTTCTGTATTTTCCAAATCTCCTGTAAATGTGTTATCATACTTTCATAATTAAAAAAATAAAAAAGAGAAAAAATTCTGACTCTTAAATTTGCCCATGGGGGTTTGAATAAAAAGAAAGGGGGAAAAAATGTGTATGGAAAGACGTCTTACCAGTAGGGAGAGGGAAAGAGTAGGCGAAAGGGAAGGAGAGAAGAATGCCACTTTGTCATTGTAGATTATAATCTTGTATGGAGAAGACCTGTTTGATGAACTCAGTTGCTTTGATGAGCCCAGATTCAAAATGATAGGAAAGCAGGACAGGGGAATTATTTGGTGATTAAGGACCTAGTGCACGTTTCTGGGAAATGTCATCAATAATGGAGGTTTCCCCCATTAGAAATATTGTGTATTAGGTGATATAAAACTTCATTTAATCCTGAAAGTCTTCAGGGAAACCACAAAAGGCATGGTTTGCCTGGGGCAATTAGGATTTTCTGGGTAAATACTGAATGACCAGGGACAGATATCAAGGTTTGTGTGAACCGAAACAGTCAGGTGACCCAGCAAGAGACCATCAATCACCCTCTGGGTTGCAAAATGATTGCCTCTTGGAATTAAATTTAGATGGTAGTTATCAGGGGCTGGGATGTGGGTGAATAGGAGAGATGTAGTTTAAGGGTATAAACTTACAACAAGTAGATAAATAAGACTTGGAGATTTTATGCACAGAATAGTGAATATCTTTTGTATTAAAAATAGTGTAGTGTGCACTTGAGATCATCAGTATACATAGTGTGGATGCCTGAAAAAGTCATTAATAAATAACTTAGATGTGATCAAACATAAAGGTGTGTTCTGATTTTTCTGAAATTTTGCTGTACCTTAAATCTTCCAGACTCAGCTACTGAAAAATGCAATGTTACACTGGGCATAAACTGGTTCCAAATAACACAGACTGGCCTAGCATTGAGAGGATAACAGGCAGGAAGGCCAGAGGTCGCCAAGCGGCCGGAGGAAATAAACTGCAAGCTACAGACGTTCCCTTCTCTCTCTCTCTCTCTACACACACACACACACACACACACACACACACACACACAAACCAAGGCCTGTTTTAATTCTGTGTTGACAACACTTGGTTCTGCCTTGAGCTAACCAATGCGTTTTTCTTATGGAAAGGTTTTTCTTAAACTATGTTAATAAAACCATATGTTTGTTTTGGAATTTGCCTTTCTTCAAAATGGTTCCACCTAAGACTGACTTTTTTTCTCTTCTCAAACCTTGGGCTGATAATAGCTCAGCAAACCAGTATTCCTGTCAATTGTTTTATGGCCAGGGGATACACACCTGTGACATCCTATCTCAAAGTGCATAATGGGGGAGAGGAGCCTGGTGAGACTCCCTCAGTCTTGAGGTCTCTTATCTGATTAATAGTTCCCTAACAGACATAAACAGAGAAGGCGATGGCACTGCACTTCAGTGCTCTTGCCTGAAAAACCCAATAGATGGAGGAGCCTGCTGGGCTGCAGTCCATGGGGTTGCATAGAGTCGGACACGACTGAAGTGACTTAGCAGCAACAGGCATAAAACACCTTGCTAAAAACTAGCAAAGGGCACTCTTTCTTTCCCCCTCTGATGTCTATGTCAGAAGCTTTCCCTAGCTCTATTATATTTTAATAAAACTTTGCTACACAAAGTAGCAAGCCACATCTCTGACCCCAGATTGATTCCTCTGGAGGTCACGAATCCCAGAGTAATGCACAGCTCCCAGCAGCAACCTTTCAACAACCTTTTCACTGAACAGAATAAACATTTTTTTTCTACAGCTTTTACAGTCCAGGGCTTTATCTTATATCCTGATACCACCACCAGGTACCTTTGTGTACATAAACACCCTACCCCTGCCCTCCACGGAAGCAGATCTTGTTACATCTTGTGCTTCCATCCATGTTCTCTCTCCTTTTCTGATGTCCATTAGGAGAAATGAGGAAATATCTCCAGTTCTGTTTTAGGCCCCATCCTGGAGGCAATCTAAACACATGCGAGAGAATTTTTCCTGTTAAGTAAAGAATAGAAAGAAACATGAAGCTGTGAAGTCTTTGTCAAGAGGCTTCTGATGGAAAATACAATTCACATCAGCTGCAAAGGTAAACTCATTCCATTCTACTGACTGGACAAGTATCCATTTCAAAAGAAGGTTTTAGCATACTTGGCCTGAGTAACTTATTATCAGATCTGGTGCCTGGGGAGAAAAACTGGGAGTGTACTTAGTGGAAGGTAAGAGGGCAGGCACGCTGACCCTGAGAGAGGAACCCTGGCACCTATAGAGTGCTAAAGAAGGCATACCAGGTATCTGTAACCTCGTCCTTGCAAGTCATGCCACCAAAACCTTTGCTAGGACAGAAGCCCCAAAAGAAAAAAGGAAGAAAGGGTAGAGAAGAGACATATGTCATGTTACACTTAATATTTATTTGAGGACTTAAAGCTGACAGAAATGATTGGAAAACAATCAAGAAAATTACGTATATAATTCATGTTTCCTAAAATCTCACTATCTAGGAATAACAAACAGAAACTTTTATTTTATTACTTTAATAAAGTAATAAAATACTTTATCACTTTAATCTCCTGGCTCTTGACCACATCTCTCGATGTAGCTCCCTCCCCTCCAATACCAAGGAGTGAGGAGAATCTCTTATCCTGGTCTGGGTTCTTAGTAATGCCAATTACTTCTCAGCAAAAGATTTATCAGCCTCTGTCCCCAACTTCCCCTTTTCACAGAGCTTTCCTCTTTCTTTCCCCATCATGTCCACTGACCTGCACAATTGTGCATGATGTGCGTCCAGTGCAACTGCAAGCATCGAAGTGTGAGAATCCTGAAGATAAACACAAACAGGACTG